GGGCCGAAGGTTTCCTGCACAGTGAACACACGTAAACTAGCCTCGGGGGTGTTTCCGAGGAAGGCCCCTCCGATGCTAAAGTCAGTACAATGTGTAAAAAGGAAGACACTATGCAAGAGAGTTTGTAGCTTGAGGCTTTTGTGGAGTATTTCTCAATGCAAGAATGAGCATATGAAATTGGAATAATCGGTGTATGAGATAATGCATGTGATAATGTATCTGATAGTGTATGTAATCCCCCTTGAATGTGTTAATATGAGGGCTTTTATACCTCATCATACTTGGAGAGGTTGGGCTTTAGCCCAATTGGCTTACTTTGTGGGCTGACTTTTGACTTTTGAGCAATTGGAGAGTTGAACCTTGACCTTGGGCTTTTAATTGGATCATTTAGTGCTCAGGCCCAATTTTGACTAAATTGGACCCAAACAAGAAGAATTGGTGAGAGGGAAACAAAAAAGAATAAAAAAAAAAAAAATCAAGATAATTAACTTGAGGAAAAAAAAAATATTGAAATGAAATCTAGACAAATAATAAGGAATGGAAGTGATACTTTGAGTACAAAAATATTGAATGTGTCAAAAGAAAAGAATTATGTAAAACATAGATTTATACGAGAATAAGTTAGCTAGACATATAGACTATGGTTAACAACTTAACATTATTATTATTATTATTTTGAAGAAGGTTAACAACTTAATATATTGCATGCAATTGTGCAAAGTTTTGATAACAAGTTGACTCGAATCATACTTCATATATGATACCATAAAAATCTACCCTATAAGTAAATTAAACTACGAGTGCCTATTATGTACATTCAGAGTCATTTATGCTCATTTAATCAACATATGAATAAAAGTTTTTTTGCTCATTTGTTGATTAAATGAGAAAATGACTCCGCGTGTAAGGTACACCCGATGTATATAACAAATTCTGTTACTCGTAGTTTATTTATCACAAAGATACAAAGTTAAATCAAGAAGAAGCAAGCATGTTCTCATGAGTCTCACGGTCTTTCATCTCATCTCAGGAAAAAAGAAGAAGAAAAAAAAAAAAAAAAGAGAAATGGCTTTATTTGTGCACAGATTAGGCCCAACACAAACTATATGCTCAAAAGCCCAAACACACAAATTTCCATCAAGATTTCAAAATTTTCCATCAACTTCTTCCCTATATAAACGTTACCCGAGCTCCCGCCATTCATTTCACCATTCACACAAATCATCATTTTCAGAGAGAAAACTAAAGAGAGAAAGAAAGCTAGAGAGAGAATTCTAGAGAGAGAGAGAGAGATGAGGAAGAGAGGAAGAGCAGCGACGAAGAAGACATCAGCAGCTGATTTCCTAGCATCGCCACCAGAAGGAAATGCAGTGAACACTCGCAAGAAGTCTACCGAATTATCGCCGGAAAAATCCTTCGAATTCAAGCTCAATTCTCCGGCGTCAAACTCTGGAACTCGCCGGAAATCGTCGCTGAAGTCTTCGCCGCAACGCAAATTGGAGGCGTTGTCTTCGATTTCGGAGTTGAAGGAAATGGTGTCGTCTCAATTGGACTCGATCAAGCGACAGGCTGATCGCTCTCACTCTGATATAATCAAGGAGGTCGAATCCACTAATTCTCGCCTTCACAAACGCTTGAAGGTATCTCTCTCAAATTTATCTCTGAAATTTTTCTTGAGGTTTCGGTTGATATTTTGCTGGATTTTGAATTGAAAGTGAAATAATGAAACACTAGAATTGTGCAAGCAGTTAGGTTGATTCGTTCGGTAACTAATTTTAGGTATTCGCTGATATTTAATGTGTAGAAATTGAAATATGTATTGAGTTGAATGAAACACTAAAATTGTGTGCAGTTAGGTTGATTCGTTTAGGAAATTGTTTTTAGGTTTTCGCTGATATTTTGTGCTGAATTTTGAATGTGAATAGATGTTAATTCTAATGAAATGCTGGAATAGTTTGATTTGTTCAAGCGACTAGGTTATTAATTGTGAATTTTGTATTCTTTTGTTGTTAATATGATTGAGATTTGAGTTTGATGCGAAAATAATTGTAGTATTAAGAGAGGATTTAGTGCAATTTTGAACAATCAGCATCTTAATATCAATTAATTGCCTGAATTATTTGATTTGCTCAAATTAGCGATTTGGATACTATTCGACAGTTCTGTATGCTTTTGTTGTTTCCAGTGACTGATATTTCACTAACGGCGAAGTTGTTTATAATATTAATAGCGCCTAAGTTTTAATTTTGAACTGTTAGGGCTTGATTTGGTTTTGGACGGTTTGATTTTTTTTTTTTTTTGCCTATTGATCTAGTATAGATTTTAGGTGCAATATGAAGAATCGCGTAAGATAAATGTCAATTATTGTGGAATTCTGGATGCTTTTGGCTTTTCATTGAATTTGCTGAGAATCATTGAGAGTCTGAGAATTGGTTTTCTCTTACAATAATAAGCTATGTCGATTCGAATTGAATGATGGAACTCTGCAGTTACAACTCATAAGCTTATATGAATGTGGGTTAAGATTTGAGGAATCAGTCCATCTGCCATCTCTGTAGGTAGTTTAACTGTTGGACACTTGGACACTGATTATCTTGCTTATTCAGTGTCTATACAATTAACTTACAATTTGTGTAAAAGTGGAAATATGGTGTCTAAAATGATTCTGTTAATTTGATCCTCTGAATGTTTTACATAAACTTTGCTAATATTGTACATGAGCTACTTTGTATCATATATCTTGATCTATGCCGAATTAATTAATCTAATAAGGCTGGAGACTAAAAGAGCTTATATGAGTTTGTGTGTGCATACAGCACTTGATGCATATTTATCTCATATCTCTGAATCTTGTAGCTCTATTTCAATAAAAATTTCAAACTCATTTGATTATGCAGATTTAAATATGAGATGAGGCAGAGGTCCTTAATGTATGCTATACAAAGACTTTGTATCTGATTGCCTTGAAATCCATATTTCAATACAATAATGTGCCTCTAAATAGAGTAATGTATGATTTCATTTCTGATATTGAGATTAGCATGGAGTACACTCCATCTAAGACTAGTATCGAAAAGTAAACTGTTTGAGACTTTGTGACTCTATAAAACTATCTATAAAGCTGCAATGTTAATAATTTTGTGTTTATTATTTCTACAGATTCAGGCTCAAGCATGTCAGCAACTCATGGATGAGACAGATAAGGAATTTAAGAAGATGTCTGAAAGGATTGCTGAAAGCTGTGATGCAATGAAGGTATTACACTATTGTTTTATGCAGTAAGTGTTGCTAATGTATTGGAAGATTGGTGTTGTTTGATTGAAGTTAATTGAGATTATTTTATACCCACAGAGTTCATATGCTGAGTTTATGGGGGATGCACAAACCACTGCAACTCGTGGTATGTAACTGACTTTTAATACACTTGAGGTCTTGAGCAACATTTATTATCTTTGTGATTGTCTTCCATTTTGCGCATGATCTGCTGACGAGAGTATCCTGTGTTTATATAACAGTACAAAAGTGTATATTTTTTTCCTCTGCAGTTTAACTTCTTTCTCTTATTTTTTTTATAATTGGTGTTTGGGGGTAGTTTTTACTTAGGTCTCTGACTTGGATACTGTTTGCTTGCTGTAGGGGATCCTTAGAAATTTGTTATTTTTAAAATTATTTCAAGTGTGGTTAAAATAAATTCTGCAATAGGTTTTAAGGTTTTCAATTTTCTCTGGACTGTTTGGAGGGTAGGTTATACAAGATATTATAGAGCTCTTGATCAGTAGTGCTTCATGTAAAGTGTATTGCACTTCGACTCAGTCAATGGCAGCGTTAAAGAACTGGTGACACTAGCTTTGTTTCAAGCACATGCAAAGGTGTTGCAGTTCAAAATATCAAATAAATGATTGCTCAAGATTGAAACTCTGAACTGCTGAAGCATGTTTTTTGGGGGTGGGGGTAGAATTCATTCTTTCCTCTACTTCATGTTCTTTAGACTAAAATAGGCTCTCGATACCATAATCAAAATCAACTCAAACAGACAAGGTTTATAGAACTATAGAAGTCATTCAATTAGGCTTAATTTGCTTATCAGCAATTTGCATGAGACCTATAGAATTGTAGTTAATGAGCGGGAATACCTTTCAATAATGCAGTGCATTGAGCTCTTGTCATCTGTGAGCTTTTAGATTTCATGATACCCTTTTGTTATTGTATGCAGTGTGTAAGACAACCATCCCTGAGAAAGCAGATTTTTATGAGAAAGCTATTAATTCTCTGCGGAACCGCCATGGGATCTTTCCAGCTGCTTAAGCTGCTTTGTGCTGTATCCTGGTGACCTGGTAAGTAGAAACTAGTCAAATCACTGTCACTTAAGTATGCTGCTTATAATTTGGAATACTTGTTTGTGGATCAGTTAGCATTGGCATGACTAAATGGTTCTTTGATCGCCATGTTGATTCTGTGTATCCACTCTCTATATTGCTTTCTTAGCCTGGTATAGTACAGTCACATTGCTGAGTTTTGAAAGATACCTTAGTTTCATATGATTGTTCCATATACGTTGTGTGCCACCAATTTTAGGCTGTTTGCTTTTCATCCTTCAACTTGAATCAACTCTTCCTACTATGGTATCTTAGGCCTTTTAAAAATAAAAATAGTATCTTTGGTGGAATTTCAGGGACAAGCTGCTGCAAATCTGCAATTCAGACAGTTTGGTGTCAGAAATATCGAGTGAGAAACTTATGTAGATGCCCTGGCCTATCTAGTCATTAGTGTCAGTACAAAGGATTATAATCACGTAGAGAGCATTCTATTTTAGCAGGTAAATAGGTGAGAAACATATTACTGCAGTAAGTTGTGAAGGAGAAACACATTCATGAGAAAGGGCTATAAGAAATCTAACACAAACTGAGGCTATTCTATATTTCTGGAGCTCTGTTTAAAGTCAGATCGGTGTTCTGTTAGTGTTACTTGAGGTACGAATTATATTCTAATTCTTGCTTTGCTTTATTAGATTGCTTATTGCATTGTTGTCTTGTCCTGGAACATAGAATAATATTTCTCAAGCCATAGAAATACAGAGTAGCTTAGCAATTTTTGACATGTTATGCATAATTTAAAGTCTGACAAGTTCTTATTATAGAAAACTTAGCTGTCAAAAAAGAAAAAAAAAAAAAAAAAGAAAAAAAAAAACTTACTGTCTCAAATTGTTTGATCGTGTTATTGAGCTGATTGGATTGGACTACAACCCAATAATGTCAGCCCAAATATAGAAACCCAACTAGTGAACGACGATTCTAGCAATGTAGGTGTATTTCCCTAATTTCATGGTCTCATTTTAGTAATTTGTCAATGCCTCAGCTATAATAACTAGTAATCCCATAAAATCTGGAATAACAAGTGGGCATGGAATTTATTTGGGTCCTTGCATTGACTTGCCAAGTATAATACTGTAAGTCTGTAATATGAATGTAATAACTCTTTAACTTTTTTTATAGACAGCATCAAACATTTTTTTTAAGTTAACAATATACTGAACAAGATGTGCTCAAAATACTCGGAAGGAACCACCATAGTATCGGGCAAGACCAGCTAATATCAGAAATATCTTAAAACTCTTGGCATGATATGGAACTTTATCTTCAATTTTAATTTATTTATTTTTAAGTTCTTGTTTTTTTGCACCATTGACGTATGATTGTATAATAACTTGATAATGCTGAGAAACATGGAGTGTTTTTTTGTTAAATAATTAACGGAAATGAGATTCACTCAAAATAAGAAGCACCGTAGTTTATGGGCACAGCAAGGCAATTCTTAACAAGAAGTATTTATATCTTCCATGTTGGCATGTTGCATTCATTACCGTATGCTGCTAGATTCAGTTAAACGTGTTGCAAAAAAAAATTGCTCAATAACCTTAAGTAAAACTAAATTACTTCATATATACTTGCTTAGTTGCTTGTAATGTACGGAGTAATTTTTTTTCAAAAGTATTAAGATAGGAGATTAGAGATTTAGAGTAGTTGGCTATCTCCGTCTTCCAAGCATTCATTTGCACTCGGCAATTCTTTCATCATTTCAGTATTATTATTCTTTTCCAAGTATGCATTGTAAATCAGCGTCATTTTATTCACCTTGGAATGGAAGATTAGGATAAGAGACAGATTTGATTCTAGGTCACAGACAACTCTCTTCTCCAGTTTTTCTATTGAATTAATTGCCTTCCACTTGACCATAATCTATAATATATATGACGTTTTTATTCAATTTGAATTCCAATTTAATCCTTGTTCATACAATTTGTTAAGAAAAATAATTATTTTTTATTAGTAATACAGCTAACACCGATTTCCCTTGCTTAAACCTTGAGCATCATCTTATTCTTTTGTTTTCTTTTAAATAATTTAGATAAGATATGGCTGAGCTTAAACTCATCAGGATCATATATGCAAATGAAATTAATTTCTAAACCACTTTTTTTTTCTTCTTCTTGTTAGAGATAGTTTAGCAATAGTTATGTTCAGGTTCCCATGATTAAGGATACAATATGATTGTGATTGGCTCTTTCTTTGTTGCGAGCACCACTAATCACGACCATATTAAACTACGAGTACTAAATTAATTTGCAAACAGCCTATAGTTATTAAAGATGCATCAAGATTCACTATCATATATATTAAGCTACCTAATTATATTTTACACAGTCAAATAATTATGCCAACTTGACAATTGCGGAAGAATAGCTACTGTTAATTTCAAGAAAGTATATACATCAAGTTTAGTCGTTTAGATGGTCTAAATATATACACATAAAAATATTACTCTATCAAATTCTTTGAATTAAATAATTATATTTCTATAGATATACTGAACAACTCATACAGTTGCACAAGAATGACAGCTACTATTACAATAAACAATCTTCATACGAAATGCACTTGCAAGTATAAATGAAACACACTTTCCCCAGAAACTGGAGTGCAGAAGCCTAAACAATTCCCATTATATCTACTATTCTCCTAGTAAGGGATTCCAATCACCAAACCAAATAAAACAGAGCATACCAACAAAAAAAAAAAAAAAAAAAAGGAAACAAAAATAAAAGTCTCTAAAATGTCCACTGATAACTACAATGGTGGTTGTGCTAGTGCTAGGAGCTTCACAGTACAGCTCCTAGCAGGGCGCTTCTTCATTGTATTTTCTACCCTCATGATTCTCGGCTTTATTGGGGCTGCCTATATCTTCGGTCTATACTCAGGTGACATAAAAACAAGCCTTGGTTATGACCAAACCACTCTTAATCTGCTTAGCTTCTTTAAGGACCTAGGCACTTATGTCAGTGTCCATGCCGGTCTTTTAATGGAGGTAGCTCCACCTTGGGTGGTCCTTTCAGTAGGAGGTGTGGTGAACTTTTTCGGCTACTTCATGATTTGGCTTGCAGTCACTAACAAGATCTCCCAGCCCCCAGTTTGGCTGATGTGCCTCTACATCACCATTGGTGCAAATTCTTTGGGGTTTGCCAACACCGGAGGGCTTGTGCCCTGTGTCCAGAACTTCCCTGAGAATCGAGGGGTTGTGATTGGGATCTTAAAGTCATATCTTGGAATAGGTGGGGCTATAATGACCCAATTCTACCATGCTTTGTATGGGGATAACTCTAACACTAGCGGGGTCATCTTGATCATCTCTTGGCTACCAGCAGCTGTTTCGCTGCTCTTTGCGTTTAGTGTTCGAGTCCTTGATGTTGCCGGAAGAAATATCAAAAGAGACAGGAAATTCTTTAACGACGTTCTTTGCATGTCTCTTGGTCTTGCCGGGTTCATCATGGTGATGATCATAGTACAAAAACAGGTTGAGTTCAGCAAAGCTAGTTATAGTGGAACCTTTGCTGTCATTATTGTTCTTCTCATTTTGCCTATCTTTCTAGTCTTCAGAGAAGAATATGCTATTTGGAAAAACAAGCTTTCTAATGCTTCCAGTACCCTTTCCGAGCTAAAAATCGTGCCTGAAAACCATGTATCTCCTGTAAAAAATCAAGCTTTAGCAACTAATAACTCTCCTGAACATGTAGAATCAGCTTGGAATAAAGATGTGTTCCGTCCTCCAGCTAAGGGGGAAAACCACTCCATCCTACAGGCCACCTTTAGCGTCGACATGCAAATTCTGTTCCTTGCCACAATATGTGGGATAGGAGGGAATTTAACCACCATAGATAACCTAGGACAAATCGGGACTTCATTAGGATACCCAAAGAAAAGCATTAGTGCGTTCGTGTCATTAGTTTCTATATGGCAGTTTCTTGGGCGTGTAATGGGAGGACTCATCTCAGAGCGCTTGTTAGACAAATACAAGTGGCCTAGACCTGCCTGTCTTAGCATCGTTCTCTTCGTATCGTGCATTCCTCACCTTCTCATAGCCTTCAATGTGCCGTATGGCCTCTATGTGGCATCAGTCATCATGGGATTCTGCTTTGGTGCAGAGTGGACTTACCTCTTTACCATAATATCCGAGCTCTTTGGGCTCAAGCATTATGGTACTTTGTACAACTACGGCTCATTGGCCGCTCCACTAGGGTCTTTCATATTCAATGTGAGAATCGCCGGGCATTTGTATGACCGGGAGGGATTAAGACAACTCAAGGCGCAGGGCCTCACTAGGAAGCATGGCGAGGAGCTGCATTGTTACGGAGTCAAGTGCTATCAATTGGCCTACTTCATAATCACCGCGGCTACATTCGTTACCGCGCTCGTGTCTCTGATTCTCGTGGCTAGAACTAGGAAATTCTACAAAGGGGATATATACAAGAGGTACCAAAAAAAGGATTCTGCCTCAACTAATGTGACATTGAGAGGGTATTCAGGGAAGGAAGATGACGAGGTGAATTAATAGTTGTACCGGTTTTCATTAGTTATTATCCATACTTTTTATGCATTAAGTGGAAAAATGTAGTAGCGATTGTATGTAAGTGTGCAATTTTAGTTCATTTTCAGACCAATTTTTTCAAATAAGCCATTCAACCATACGTAATAAAATTATACAGTATGTAGTATTATATGGAATTAAGGATTATTATTAATTTTTGTAATATTAGATTGGTTTATATTTTATCAACTTTAACAAATTAATCTAAGCTTTGGATGATCATAAATTTATTAATGTCTATAAAGGTCGAATATTCGAATTTCTTTTAATTCGTATGTTGATTTTACCAACATACTTCGTATTAGCTTAGTCATATAACTTTACTATTATTGACTACGGAGTACTACAAAGCCAAAATAGCTGTATGTATATACTCCCCTATTCCCTCAAAAAAAAAATGTATATACTCCCCTAGACCCTACCTTATATTAACAAGTAGGAAGAGGCCGAAGATCTAGCCTTGGTCAAATACTTATACAGTTAATGGGTTGACTTTTCCCCATGAAAGACAAAGTAGAACGTGTATTAACAGGTTCATGGCTTAAGGCCTTAATTTAAGCAAATCTTAAGCAATGATTATATTTATTATTATGCGGGTTAAACAATGACCATTATGGCAAGTGATTGGAAACATGCCTTGAAAATTGAATTCAAATGCCACCTTACTCGACAATTAATTCAAGATGCTAAAATAACTTTTTAAAAAAAAAAATTATTATTACTGGTTTTATATTACGGAATATTGGTTTTCTAATGATTGTCACTATTTTTTTAAAATGATTTGCCTATGGATATGTATTGAAAGATTCTTTATGTATTTAAATTGAAAATAAAATGTAAGTTTAACAAGTGTTCATGAATGCTATTTATAAAAGTTGATTGTCGACGTGGTAAACATGACTTCGATAGGTTTGAATTGATCAGTTGATCATCTACTTGATAGCATGCCCTCATAATTTTATACATTTAAATGTATAAAATTATTAGTGTGCAATTCATGGAGATCTTTGTTACTGCCTTTCATGATATGGTGGTTAAAGGTATATTCAATGCTGTATCAATCGCAAAAGATCTGGAATATAGAATCATAATTGAGCATGAATGTTATAATCTTCAGCTTGAATATTCTTGTGGTTTATGCAACGAATTTTGAAGAATGATGATAGTCCAATATTATGACACGTATATTGATGTGAGTATTATATAGTTTTAGCAAAGATTTGCGTTGAAATGGAAAGATTGCCATGGTATGGGAGTTGCCGTTGTCATCAATATCACCATGTAACCAAAGTAGTAATCTTTAATGTCCAAGTTGCATACATATGTAATGTTGATTGTCACTCTTTTGATGGAGTTGACTTGATATAGTCAACTTGGGGGTTAACAAGACTTACAATAGTGATAAATGTATCACTCCTTTAATGCAAAACTATATATGAAGTAATGTTTACCCATATCGTCATTGTTATGTATTAATTACGTAATATCATCAAATAAATAAACAGTTTAGATACGAGTTAGACTCGACTAAAGTTTATAACAAGATAAAAGAGTATGTGTTCAAGTGTCAAATATACATGAAAATTAAAGGTAGTAGCAACCTAGCGAGTTTTTTGCAAAACAAAATGTATTAATTAACATTACATCTAGTATGATTGTCAAGTATTCGACACGAGTATTAGAAAAATAAGGAGTCTGAGTACTCGATAAATATCAAATTGAGATGCATTTGTTATTGAAGTTTTTTGTGATTGCGTCTAAATTTATAATACGAAGTACTATTACTTAATCAGTGGTGTTATAAGTAATGCACTCTAGAACTCTTTCAGGGGCAGTTGTGATCAAAGTCTTTGTACGTGCTCCCGTGAACAAAAATACTACCTCCAGTTATGAGTTGGTCTCTTACGTTATGAGCATCACAATTTATGACCAAATTAAACTAACAAATTATATTATTGATAGTCAATTAGTGATGCCAACTTGAAAGCTGCAGAAAATCTACTAATGGAAGATTTGATAAGAAGAAGAAAAAAAAAACAAAAAAAATAGCCATATTAAATTTCAAAATGATATCGTTTAACCGTCTGAAATCGACCGAACCAAATAAAAACCAAACCAATTAAAAGCCGGTTATTTGAAACCGAAAACCAACCCAAATTGTATTGTAGTTAAACCAAAATCGAACCAATCAAATGATGTTAAATCGTATTAGTACTGAACCCGTTAACAAATCGAACTATGAATGACAAATAAAAAAACGTGAAAGTTGCATAAAATATTTTGACAAAAAATCTACGGAGTACAAAAGAGAATAGAGCTAGTGGGCCTAAAATAGCTCCAAAGATAAGATAAAGCCATAAAGGTGATAAGGGATTATCAAATACCACACCATAATCCGTAACTAATTAACTACTTATGATTATGAATATTAATTAAGAATTTTAGAGCCCGATTCTTAATTGGACCCAGTCCAAACTCGCAAGCAATTTGTTTCATCCGAATTCAACTCCCGCTTGCCATCACACAAAACCCAGGTAAACACAAAAAAAAAAAGGGAACAACTTGATTTTGGAGGTGAACTTTGCTTTGATTTTCATCTGCAATTTGAATGGTATCTTACTATGTTTTAACTAATTAACTTGTAATTTTCATGTTTTTTTTTTTTTTTTTTTTTTTTCTCAGTGTTTGTATTGTATGAATTAAGCTCATTTTACACTAGTTTATCTGGGGTTAATGAAGAATGACTAGAGGTTTTCTGGGTATTTATTCAATTTTTAGTTTCATAACCCCATTGTTGTATAAGAATGTTCAATCATAATATAAGTTATACGTAGTATGACTATGTTTTCCATGTTTTGTCCATTGTTATTTGATGAGCATTTGTATGAAATTTCAATCAGTATTGAGGGTTTTGATTGGACCCCTATTTTAAAGAATTACCATTCTATCAATTAATGAATAAGTTATAATCAGCTGGGTATTCTATGATTATTATAACTAAAATTTGAGGATATGTGTGTTTACATGAAAATTGTAAGAGGGGTGGAGATATGGTGTCTTAACCCCACATTGATCCAACATCAGCCATGTGAGACTATGAGCGCGGTCTCGAGTTCAGCATTTTGCTGTTTATACCAACAATTTCTCTTCTATTTCATGCTTAGATGGGACATTGGGAGAATGTTAATTCTCCCAATTGATTCTAGTCAATTCGACGAGTGTTATTACTTGACCTTGCCTTGGGTGGGACTATGGGAGCCTTGTTAGAGGCACTTTTTTCTTGGCATTGGTAATGGTTATTGCTTGTGCACATTAAGTTTGCTTGCGTACACTAGGGTCTTAATCGTGAATAAGCTCTATTAGCATTTGCCTGTAAAAACCATTTAAACCGCTTTTCTAGACATTCTAGTGTGTAGAGTGTAACCAATTGCGGGGGGTTGTATAGTGAGTTGTCTTCTATGGGTGTACAGGGAAGAAACCTAAATGATGTGATTTAGAGCAATCACGAACTTCCTTTGGATGGCTTAAAGTGTGATTTTCATGCAATGACAATGGCTCTACAATCATGAAATGATGATGGCAATGGCACTACAAACCATGGTCATAGTTTGGTTCTAGTTGGAAGTTTGCCTTCTGATGCTTCTTAATGTTTTTTACCATTTCTAAAGTTTTTTTTTACCATAAATGTTAGTGATTGGACATGTAAATGATGTTACATAGCTTGTGTTTTAATATATATTGCTATGAGATTCTTAACTAGTATAGGCAGTAGAGTGACATAGGCATAAATGTGATCATTTATCTACATTCTCAGGTCCTTATGATAATAAAAGGGCTCTTCAGGAGGTATGAGAGATGGAATCCTGTGCATCCAACCCATGGAGCCTTTTGGGGAATGGGAGTAGGGATTGGTTGCGGTGTGGGTTGGGGTCCTGGTTTTGGACCTGAGGTGATTGGATATGTTGGTGCCGGATGTGGAATTGGATTTAGTGTCGGTATTACTCTAGTTGGTTTTGGCATTGGCCTTCCTGTATATACTCTCAACGATGCTCCTAAAGGTAACATTATTGCTTATCACTCAACTGTTATGTACATTAGAATTACCCATCCTACAACTAATTCAATTACACCTTCATTTTAAAGGAGAAATATTGCTACTCGTACCTAGGATTATTCAACTTTCATTAAAGTCGTAATTCGTTTTTGTTTACATTTACTTATGGCAGGCGTGATGATAGATAACAAAACGTGAAGTCACTATAGTTTCAAAGATTTGGCAAGGGAGTTGATGTACATGTTGAACCTCATCTAAGTTCTTTAGGTTGTCGGTTTTAAGATATAGATGGCCTTTTGCAATAATTTCAATTTGTTTTGAAGCATAATTATGGCATGTTTCTACTTGCCACACCAATGAAATTCTTCTTTTTAAGTGTACTATGCGATGGATCTGGAGGTTGATGCTGTATAGGTCAACTATATTAGGAAAATAGCAATAGGAGTTAGGGATGAAGATAAAAAAAAAGAGCAGCTTGTTATAATTATTATGCAATTATCATGCAAAGACACACAGATTTAGGTTAAAACATTGTGACTAAGCAAAGATTGCTGGAACATTCTCATGTCTATGTTTTAATACATGAATCAATTTTAATGGTTAGAAGCACTTGCAATTTTCAAGAGAGCAAGTTTACAACAGTTTAGATGAGACTTTATTAAATATATGTCCCTTATAAAGAACACTGGCCTATTCAGCTCTGCCTCAAGTGCATTTTTAGTGGTTCTGATGATTGAAGAACGTAACATAATTGGCAAAATGCCGAATTTAGTTTCCTTTGTTTTCTGGTCATGGTGACATTAGCTATATTTCTGATTTTGTACCTCTGTATATGTTCTATTCTATTAAGATTTCTTTGATTGCATTTTAAGTGTAAACTTTATTCTTATCTGCTAAGAGGCGGATTTTTTGGTTGTGAGGAGTTAACGATGAATTTTTATTGTCTTAGCTAGCCTTATTGTTTACAAATCTATGCTCTCTAATTATGCCTTTTCTTTTATTCTCATTTTGGCTGATTGCTGTAGCTTAAATCTTAAATTTTTAGCTTGCATTTTTGATTGGGAGGTTATGTTTTCAGCTTTAATAGCCACAAGAAGCAATACTTGGGACATTCCATCTCAGTTTCGGAGATTGCAACAGAAGGCAAATGACAGCTTTTCATACTTGAAGGACTTAGATATTTTGAAAGGGACAGATAAATTCGATGGAGAAAATGCAATATCTTCACAGAGAAAGGCTATTTCTGAAAGTTCTGAAGTATTGAAGGAAAAAGATTCTGAATCTGATAGAGGTAAGCATTTTAAATACATGCTGTTGAGTATTGGAAGGTTGTTCTTTACCTAAATCCCAACTTGTTTTTTAAATTTCATTTAACTATCTGGATTTATTATTCATCATTAATCCAAAGAATACATTTGAGATCCAAGCTGACTCTTACGCTGTGCTATTCCGGTCATCAAACTGTTTATTCTCATTAGTCCCTCAGAGTTCATAGCTGCTATATATAGTACAACAAGCTGCTTACTCTACCTTCCAATATCTTCCTTGCAAGATGCAGTGCAATTTTTTTTTCGTTCCATGCCAATATGCCATAGATTCTGTGTCTCCTCTTTGTCTTAAAAAAACATCTTCACTTATCACAAAATTTATGCTTTCTTTTCTGGATTTAACATATCGTGTTTAGTTGCTGGTGAACTAGGTGAAGAATCCTAGTTTATTAGCCAAATATCTGAGTTTATGCTGTCACTTCACAACTCTCATGTTAGAAAGTTGATGCTCATGATAGAAACAATTACTAGTATTTGTCTATTTGATGATTTTGGGCCTTGTGGCTTGCAATTAACTGTCATTAATTTTGTTTTTTAATTTGCAAAATTGTGATATTATTACTCTCTGACATGCAGATATCAAAGATTGATACTAGTGAGGCTAGATCATGGCAAGCAAAAGCTACATATGAAGAGCATATTGCACTTTGTAGGTTTGAGTATAGAAAATCCACATTGTAAACCATGGCCATCAGGTCTGACATGCTCATATCTAGGACGGAGCTTTGTGAGCCTGAGCTATGTGGAGTGAAGCAAAAACTAATATGAAGAGCATAGTGGGATTAGCTTCGGAAGTTTTAGTATGACACATCTACCTTGTGGATTATGTCCATTAGATCACCTCCGAATCCAGTATTCAAATTCTTTTTATTCATGTGTGATTGTAGAGCTAAATTTCCTCTTTTGACAGTTTCATGTAATTCCCATTGGCATTTTAATAAATGACATTAGCATGAGGAATCTGGCAATTTTCCAACCTCTTGAATTTATGCGGTACAGCTGAAAAGAACTAAAGAACCTTTGAGCAGCCTCGTAGCAAGCAGCAGTTGAAGAGGTTATGGGTGCATAATTTGAAGGTGCGTTCATAGCCAGCAGTATCAATAGATAATTTGGTATTTGCTGACATCCAATGATGGGCACTCGTGACCACTGAGAAGACTGAGCTTTTGGAGGGCCATAGCCTGGTGGTGGAGGTATCATGGAAAGCAGTTGCGAGGTAATACCCTACTTATCTCTCAAAAGAAAAATGGTAACGCCCTACTTCAGGCTCTAACTTGATTGGGTAATACCGTAATAGCCCTTGAGAAACTCGCTCCAAGAACATCATAACCACACAAAAGCTTAAGGGGAGAATCAAGGGTCTTTTCTTTCCTGTTCTAAAGTCCCAAAGTGTGATAGTGATTTTTTGGTACCAGATGCTGCGGAAGGTCAGTATCAGGGTGGGGAAAAATGACATAGATTTCCTTGTTATCCCCACCGTGCTATAACAATTGATCCAATATGGATGCCCCTCTAGAAGCTAGCTGTGTCCAAATGTATACTGAAAGATACAAGGCGATGCGAGCAAGGCAGTTGTCATAGTAATATTGCTAAGAAAAGTCCACAACTTTGGCAAACATTGTGTTCCTTCAACATTTTTACCTGTTGACACAAGTGAATGTATTAGTTGGTACATAGCAGGGCGAGTTTAGGGTCTTTCTCATACGACCCCAAAATTCCCAATTATTCAATTAATATTGAAGACTTGAAGTACCATGGTGAAATGAAGCTGATATGATTTCATGAACTTGGATTATAATTACAAACTCTAAAAAAAAGTTTATGAAACTTTCGCATCCACTGCTTCGTACACTTCTTCTATGTGAATGTGACCGATGAGATAATAGCAGGATTTGAGTTTGAATTCAATGTCCTTTAACTTGTTGCTACAAAATTGCACCATATATGTCATGAATATTTGTAACTTGGAGACAACTCTACTAGTCATTGTTAGTTGCCTAGTTTTTTTCGACTTTAATATGTGATGTTAGATATCTTAGTTGACATATTTTTTTTCTAACTGCAAGTGTGAAGTGTATCGGGTAGATATTTTTTGCAATTTGACATTTTTTAAACTCATTTTAAGATATAATATGTAAAAAATAAAATCGTTAAATGAAGCTTTTGTCATTTTAAGAAATATCAAATGATTCTAGGGCTGCAAACGATCCGGGCCGGGCCGAGCCGAGTTTTAGTCTGTTTGAGCTAAGCTTGATAAGGAACATTCGTGTTCGAACTATCTCGAGCTTGAACGAGCTTTTAAAAATCTTGTTCGAGCTAGGCTCGTTAAGAATTTGGCTTGTTCAAGCTTTGTTCACGAACGTACTCGTTTGCATTTCGAGTTTAAGTTCGAGCTTGAACGGGTCTAAATCGGACTTGATTAAATAAACGAGCCTTAATTAATCATTAAAAATGGTTTCTTTCAAATTTTAACACATCCATTTAATAATTTTATAAAGATTTTTATATTCTTTCTATAGAATAAGGTAATGACGGAGTTTTCATGCTTTTACATGATGAAATAATTAGTACTTTTTACAAATATGTATGAATAAAAGATATATAAATTTTTCGAATTTTAATTGGGCGTGAAAAAACTTATAAATTGACTTACACGAGTTGTTCATGAACATCACCGAGTCGAACATCGAGCTTTGTTCACCTATTTGACGAGCTTAAGATTTTTGTTCAAACTTGTTTGTTAGCTTAACAAACGAGTTTTGACCGAGCTTGTTCGCGAGTAGTTCACAAACGTATCGGCTCATTACATTCCTTCGTGATCCATCCATTCTTTTGACCCGCAAAGTCGCTAAAAAAAACAGAGTACGGGACACACCTAAAAGCTTCCCATATACGAGTACGTGAAGTAATTAGAAGGAGCATCAATAATGAATTGCTTCAAGGCGTGGAAACCCAGCGTCGATCCGGGTTATGAATCTGCGCCTTTTCTTCTTGTTCTTATTTTATAATTCCCCATTTTTTTAAGGATATTTTGGATTTTAACACCTGACAAAAGGCTGAAAATGGTTTTTAACACCCCCCAAAAAAAAACTTTTATTTTAACACCTCCCAAAAATATAAAAGTTGGAAGTTAACACCAGTTAACGATTTCCGTCACGGAAATTTAACGTGGGTCCCACAAATTGGCTTCAACTTCAATTTTCACCCAGCAAAACACGAAACTTCCTCTCTGAACCTTCATTTCATTGATTTTATCCATTACAGATTTTTGGTGCTCATAATTTACAGATTTACAGATTTTTGGTGCTCATAAATCAAACCATACAAAAAATAAATAAAAATTCAACACCGGTTCATCTTCTCCTTCGTTGGAGAACAAAGCGACTGAGAACTTCCATTTTTTTTACCACCAATTCCGCCGCCCATAAAGGGCCCTGTACGGCTACTGACCAAGCCTTCGCAGCCAGCAAACATGTTAACTGGGGACCGGCCACCAAAATTAAATCAACCACCCAAGAAACCAACCTTGCCCCATCCCGTTAGCCACCCAGCTCCCTCCCCCGACCGACGACCGGCGAACCCATCCCACCCCTTTTCCCCACAAACGCAACCCAACCCTCTCCCTTTTCCCCTGCTGCCCCGACCCAAGCCACCACACCGAAACCACAATCAAAGATCTGAATCGCCGCAACCACCACCACTACCACCACTCTTCTGCAACACTTTGCTCCAAACCCTAACGAATCGACCCGCCTTAACCTTTTCGGCCACCCTAACCCCTAAACCACCACACCGTAACTTTTTTCGGCAAACTTAAATTGATTTCTAGACGAGGTTCGATGGATCTGCGATTTGCTCTGATTTCGGGAATTGATGTTGGGAATTGATTTTTTGCGGTTTGAGTGAGGAGGTGGCTGCAGGGGTTGCGATTGTGGGCTGGTATTTGGAGAGGAGCTGATTTGGTTGCGAGAACGGGGAAAGGGAAGGGGGGTGGGTTCGGTTGGCAGCGTAGGGGTGGGGGAAAGGGAGGGGGGAGGGAAGGGGTGGCAGTTGAGGGGAGGGTGGGCAAGAACGAAGGAAAGAGTTTGGGATGGCAGCCATGAAGATGAAGGGAGGAAGAAGACGAAGAAAAGATGAAGGGAGGAATAAGAAGAAAAAATGGGATGGCAGCCACGAAGGTGGGTTTCGTAAAAAATTGAAAACGAAGGAGAGTTGAAGCCAATTTATGGGACCCACGTTAAATTTCCGTGACGGAAATCGTTAACTGGTGTTAACTTCCAACTTTTATATTTTTGGGAGGTGTTAAAATAAAAGTTTTTTTTTGGGGGGTGTTAAAAACCATTTTCAGCCTTTTGTCAGGTGTTAAAATCCAAAATATCCTTTTTTTAAATTAAGACAAATTTGAAGAACAAATCCACCCAATTATACTTTAAACTTTTCCCCAAAATAACATATAACACCAACTGAAAACAAAAGTGACATTCTTTCTAGAAATTCTCCTTTTCTCTTCTCAATTTTCAAACCCAGAAAATCATTTCTTACTCTCACTCAACTCTCATACATACACACACACTAGATTTCTCTTTCATGTCCTTTTGATTTATGCCCGATTAAAGTTTTAGCCATGAGTCTCTTCGGTCTCGGCAGGTTAGTTTTAATTTTTAATTTTTTTGATTTTATTTCTTTAATTGGATTGTTTGAGATTTTTAATATATATGAGTGATTTTTGAACTGGGTTTATTTTAATTTCTTGTGGGATGGGATTTTATTGATGTAGAATTGTATTAAGATCTGTTTTTGTTGGGGTTGATTCTGGGTTTTGAATGAGTCAATCAGTTTTATGTTGAATTTTGTGGGGTTAATAATCTGGATTTATGGCAAGAACAAGTTTGAAGGTGTAAAAATTTCAATGTTACTTGCATGCAGATTACAGAGTTTTATATGAAATTGCTGCATTTTGATTATTAGAAAGTTTTATATATAGTACTTCATGCTTTAACAAATGATGGTAATTTGTTATTATTCCATTTGTGTTATATGAAAGTGCAGAATTTTGATTCTTAGAATGTTTATTTATACAGTATGTATTGCATCAAATGATGTCTTTTGATAGTATGATTGTAGTAATTTGTGCAAACAATTACTAGAGATATGATTAGCATTAGGGCAGATGATAACACTAACACCCAGTGTGAACTTTCTTGTTGGCGAATTATTGGGAAATTAAGGTTTACCTAGCATGACCTTACCTTAGGTAGTACTCTGTAAGAAAGTTTGTTGGGTGAAGATTAAGATTTAGGGGGTGTTTGGTTCGTAGGTTTTAGGTATGAGGTATGGGGTTCGAATGAGTAAAAAACATACCTAATTTTTAAACCCTATCTCAAACCCACAAGGTATAGGGTTTCAAAACCCAAGGGGGGAGAGTTGGGTATTGCTCATACCACACCTTTAGGTATCAAATAAAAATAAAAAACTCATTCCTGAATTCTGAACAACAACCAAACACAATGTATTAAGAATCAAGTTCCAACCCCATACCACCCTAATTTCATTCCTAATTCTAAACCCATACCACTTTGTAAACCAAACACCCCCTTAGTGGGTTCCTTTATAATTGTGTTCTCACTGCAGTGCTTGATGCGGGAGCATCCTCCTGTAATTTTGGACTTAGGATAATTTCAACTCCACCTTATGCTCTTGAGTTGGAGGCTATAATAGCTTATTTTTTATGGGTTGATCCCTTTTCCATGCTTTCCATCTCAGGAGTTTAGTTTAGTTCTTGTAGTTTGAATGAGCTCTTGGAGAATTTAAAGGATTTAATAGGCTTTGGGATGGATAAGGTTGGAAAACAAATCAAAATTTTTTACAGGTGGTTGTGTTATTATTCAAGTACAAAGACATAGTGGAAAGAAGCACAATCAATGTTGCCCATGGGCATTTGTGCTATTGGACACTATCGTTTGTGGCATTAGGATGCAAGCAACTCAAATTATAGCTTGTCAGAGGCACCCTGCACTATGCAAAGGTGCATGTGTGTACGGCTAATTTAATGCTCAACTTCTCAAAGTCTTTGATCATAGTCCCATATGCTTCTTTAAAAACATTAAATTCCTATATGTTTATTTTGTACAGATGGGCTTAGGATTGTCTTGAAGACTTAAACTCTTAATTGGGGCCTAAATTAGTGTTTGAGCCTCTTGATGAATATGTAATCAAGATGAAGGTTGTATTTGGCCCATGTTGATGAATAATGTTGAAATGACTCTTATGTCTAGTCTATGTGGCCTGATATCCTTTGTGGATCACTTGCTCTTTTCTTTCTAGGCTTTGCGACTTCTTTTTGTGCACCTATTGATTTATTTTATAGGGTTAATATATTCATATAAGCTCTGATAAGATAAATTTTAAGGGATTAAGGTTTAATAAGGAGTGCTGGAGCTCAAATTACATCTAAAATAAGTTTACTTTCGTTACTCAAGTGAATAGAATGCACCTCGGTGTGTCTGATTGTTTGTGTTAGTTTATGTGCTGTGAATTTGTGATTGCTTTCTATGCCCAAAATGTTATGCAACGGACTAGCGTATTAAGACAGTAAGTAAGTCGAAGGTTGTTGATTGATTGCTAAGCTTAAAGCTTCCGAAAGATAAATATGGCTTTAGGCCATAACTCTCCAAGTGTTTGCTTACAAATTTCTGGATACCCTCCTCCTACTAGTCTCTTACTTCTTATACTACAATTACATTACTATAATTGGCAACATAGCCTTAATTACTACAATTATCTACTCTTGTCCTCATACTATTTTAGTGCAATACAAACAAAATACAAAAGCTGCTTGTCTCCCCTGCTGCCCTCCCAACGGTCCTCTGTTTCTCTCCTTGGCAGTAGCTTAAGGCTGGTTGTTGTGGCTGGTACGTAGCTGCTTCTTTTTGTGTCTCCTGCTGTAAACCAGATTCACGGGTGGGTGTTGATGTATTGCAATACCTCCCCCCAAAAGCGCCACCTTGTCCTCAAGGTGGAAATGCGGAAAGTGCGCTGTGATGGCTGCAGCCTCCTCCCACGTAGCCTCGAACTCGGGTACTCCTAACCACTTGATGAGCACCTCAATGCTGCTCTGCTGCCCTCCCTTGTGCCTCACCTCCAACCCTCGCTCTGGCTCCACTACTAATTCTAACTCCGGAGTCAGTTGAGTAGGAATGGTTGTAGAAGTTGGAACATCCCCAATAGCGCGCTTCAATTGCGAAACATGGAAGACGGGTTGAATGCGACATTGCTCGGGGAGGAGTAATTTGTAGGCAACCTCCCCCACACGCTGCGCTACCTCGTAAGGCCCATAGAAACGCGCGGCCAGCTTTTCAAATGGCCTTGCCAACGATTTCTGACGATAGGGCTGTAGCTTAAGGTATACAAAATCCCCGATTTTAAATTCCTCATCCCGACGCTTCCCATCCGCATTTTCCTTCATGATTTGCTGAGCACGCACTAAGTTCCATTTCAACTCATCCAACATTAAGTCTCGTTCTTGTAGGACCTCATCAATCGTCCCAACCGTGGTTTGCCCTGTGCCCACCCGAATTAACTTAGGTGGTTCCCTCCCATACACTGCCAAGAATGGGGTCACTTGAGTCGAGGCGAGTGGTGTTGTATTATACGAATACTCGGCCTAAGGGAGCCATTTAGCCCACGTTTTAGGCTGCCCACTCGCGAAACATCGAAGATATGTTTCTAGCCTTTTGTTCACCACCTCCGACTGCCCATCAGTTTGGGGGTGGTAAGATGTGCTCCGCTTCAATTCCGTGCCTTGTAACCGGAATAGTTCCCTCCAAAAAATGCTCAAGAACACTCGGTCCCTATCCGAAACGATGCTTGACGGAATTCCGTGAAGTCTGACTACTTCCCTCACAAACACCTCGGCAACAGTATACACAGTAAACGGGTGTTTAAGCCCTATAAAATGAGTGTACTTCGATAGTCTATCAACCACTACAAATATCGTGTCTACCCCCTTTGATCGTGGCAAACCTTCGATAAAATCCATACTTATGTCTTCCCATATCCTCTCCGGGATGGGCAACGGTTGCAACAACCCCGCCGGCGATTGTTGCGAGTGCTTGTTTCTTTGACAAACCGAACAACCGCGTATGTAGGCTGCCACATCTTTTCTCATTCCACCCCCAAACCAATCCACGCCCTCTTCAAGTATGTTTTCGTCTCACCGGTGTGACCTCCCTCCGGAGAGTCGTGATAAATTCGTAGCAAGGCCGATTTATTCACCGAATCTCGCGGAAGAACAACACGACCCTTGTATAGCAATTTCTGGTTCTCCACCGAATAGCCACGGGGCCCTTGCCCCTGCTCCACCTCTGCCTTCAATTTCTGAATTTCAGTGCTCTCCTCGATCTCTCTGTGTAAAGAATCCCACTCCACCTTATGCGTAACCAACAAAACATTACATTCCTCCCCTGCTTCATTCCCTTCACCCCCGCTCCGCTTTGAGATGGCGTTAGCCACCCGATTGGCCACCTCGGGCTTGTATTGCAAAACAAAATCGAACCCCACCAATTTGCGCACCCATTTCTGAAATTCCATACCGATCTCTCGTTGTTGGGTTATGTACTTGAGGCTTTGTTGATCACTCCGAATCACGAATTTCCGACCCAACAAGTAGTGCTTCCATTTTTCAACGGCTAGACATACCGCCATGAGTTCCTTTTCATAAATCGATTTGCCTTGGCCTCTAGGACCGAGCACCTTGCTAAAGAAAGCCACCGGCCTTCCCTCTTGCATCAACACCGCTCCGAGGCCGTAGCCCGAAGCATCGGACTCTACCAGAAATTCTCTCGAAAAATCTGGCATTATCAGTACGGGAGCCGTGACCATGGCTTGCTTCAGGGCTTGAAACGCCTCCTCGGCCGCCGGTGACCACCCAAAATTATCTTTTTTGAGTTGTTCCGTTAGAGGCCTTGCAATGTGTGCATAATGTTGTATGAATTTCCTGTAATATCCCGTAAGCCCCAAGAATCCCCTTAAATCCCTCTATGATTTCGGTGTGGGCCAAGTGATCATGGAGCCCACTTTATCTTGGTCCACTGCAACCCCTTCATTAGATATAACATGGCCCAAATAAGCCACCTTGGGCTTACCAAACTCACACTTTTTTAGATTTGCAAACAGTGAGTGATTTTTTAGTGTGGCTAATACTAACTTTACGTGAGCAACATGATCCTCTTCACAAGCACTATACACTAGAATATCATCAAAGAAGACAAGTACAAATTTACGGAGATAGGGTCGGAATACCTCATTCATAAGAGCTTGGAAGGTTGCCGGAGCATTAGTGAGTCCGAAAGGCATGACGAGGAATTCATAATGCCCTTCATGCGTTCTAAACGCGGTTTTGTGAGTATCTTCCGGCCGCACCAAGATTTGGTGGTATCCGGCCTTAAGGTCAAACTTTGAGAACAATCGGGCTCCATGAAGCTCATCTAGTAACTCGTCGATCACCGGAATGGGGTATTTGTTCGGGACGGTCTCCTTGTTAAGAGCCCTATAATCCACACAAAATCTCCACGACCCGTCCTTCTTCTTGACTAGAAGCACCGGGCTCGAAAAAGGGCTCGTGGAAGGCCTTATGATGCCGGCTTGCAACATCTCCTCTATAAGCTTCTCGATTTCGTCTTTTTGAAATTGGGGATATCGATAAGGCCTAACACTAATTGGGTCACTCCCTTCCTTGAGGACTATGGAATGCTCATGGCCCCTACTTGGAGGAAGCCCACTTGGGCTCTCAAAAACCCCAGCGAACTCTTCTAGCACCTTAAAAATTCTGGTGGCCCACTACCTTTCGGCCCATCCACTATTGGGCTGTCATCTTGCTGCTCAACCTTGTTCATTTCCACCAAAACGCCCCCTTCTTGTTTCCTCAAGGTTTTGATCATTGCTTTAAGGGTGATTCCCGATTTTACTAAGCTAGGATCTCCCCTAATCACCATAGTCTTCCCATTCAAGGAAAAACTCATTTCTTGTGACTTCCAATCCGTGAGCACGGTCCCTAATTTTTCAAGCCATTGGATCCCCATGATTACATCCGAATTGCCCAACTTAAGAGGCAAAAAATCCTCTTCTATCTCAATCCTTTCTCCCAACTCCACACGCACCCCTCTACATTGCCCCTTGCCTTTGATGTTTTCCCCATTCCCAAGTGAGACGCCAAAGCTAGCATCACCGGAGACGATTAGCCCGAGACTCTCAATGGTTCTCAATGATATAAAGTTATGAGTGGCCCCCGGGTCGATCATTATCACCACCGATTGCCCTTTGATCTTCCCCTTGAGCCTCATTGTCTTTGGGTTAGACAACCCAACTATTGAGTTCATGGAAACTGAGACCGGTGTCACTTCACACTCCGACTCCGGAGCCTCCAAGGCTGTGAACTCCCCTTCATTCTCTTCCTCCTCCTCCTCCACCATCAACACGCTAAGCCCCTTCGCGGGACACACATGTGTAGGTCCCGTCCACCTACCGTCACATCGGAAACAAAGACCCTTTGCTCTTTTATCTTGAATTTCCTTATCAGTGAGTCGCCGGACTTCCCCGTTAAATCTGGTGGTGCCGGAGTTCGATCGGTTGGGATATGAAGAAGATGGTTGGTTAACAGAAGATGTTGAGTGTTGGATGGAATGGGTAGGGCTGTGTGTTTGGCTAGTAGGTGGGCTGGAACGAACTGGGCTAGAGGCTGTTGGGTTTTGTACGGTTGCTGTCCTTTGGGCTGGCCCAGCTCCCAAGAGAGTGGCTGCGGGGCTCCGATTAAAATACGAATACGGACCCGGTTTTGAGAATGCCCCACCTGTCTTCTTAAGGCTGCTGACCCGGTTTCTCTCCTCGACCCGGATCGCTAGATCCATTGCGTCTTCGAGGGTGAACGGGTTTAGCATTCGGATCTCAGCTCTAATCTCCTCCTTTAGGCCATTGATAAACTGGCCTTTCATTATACTTTCGGGTACATCCAACAAAGGCGAGGCTTTCTCTATGAACAACCGCCTATACTCCACCACCGTCGTTAATTGCTCCACCGCCAGCCACTGTTCATGTAGGGACCCCGAGTTCACCGGTCGGAATTGGTTCAGAACGCGACCCTTCATGTCTTCCCACCCCACCATGGGTCTCCTCCTACTCTCCCATTGGTACCAACGAAGCGCGTCGCCGTCCATCGCTACGACCGCGGCTTGTAGCTTTTCCGTTTCCGCCAGACCGTAGAACTGAAAAAATTGCTCACCCCGGAGTATTTTACCATCGGGGTCGGAGCCATTGAAGGACGACATTTCCAACTTTCGATATCGCCAATTTCCGCCCCCCTCACGGTTGTCTTGGTTGGGTCTTCGAATTCCGCCACCCGCACCGGAATCCCAGTTGCCAAACCTGAGGCCTCCACCTCCTATCGGTGTTTCTCCGAAGTTGCCCTCTCCAAACGGCTGGTTTATCTCCTTGTTTTGCAACGCCGCCATCATCGCCCTCATTTCTTCAATGAACTGGTCCTGCTTTCGGGTTAGTGTGTTTTGGATTGAGTTTTCCCCGTCTCCGATCTTCTCGAGAATATCTTCCATTCGCTCTTCAAGCGCGGCCACCCTCTCCGGGGTCACCGTCAACGGCGTCGGCGGCATCCGGCTCTGATACCAAGTGCAACGGACTAGCGTATTAAGACAGTAAGTAAGTCGAAGGTTGTTGATTGATTGCTAAGCTTAAAGCTTCCGAAAGATAAATATGGCTTTAGGCCATAACTCTCCAAGTGTTTGCTTACAAATTTCTGGATACCCTCCTCCTACTAGTCTCTTACTTCTTATACTACAATTACATTACTATAATTGGCAACATAGCCTTAATTACTACAATTATCTACTCTTGTCCTCATACTATTTTAGTGCAATACAAACAAAATACAAAAGCTGCTTGTCTCCCCTGCTGCCCTCCCAACGGTCCTCTGTTTCTCTCCTTGGCAGTAGCTTAAGGCTGGTTGTTGTGGCTGGTACGTGGCTGCTTCTTTTTGTGTCTCCTGCTGTAAACCAGATTCACGGGTGGGTGTTGATGTATTGCATGTTAAACAACGAATTTCATTATCTCTTTGATCGTCTCCTATCATTATTTATTTAGGCTGATTGAATACATAACTCAAAATCTCCTTTATTTTCCCACGAAATCAAACACATCCCTAACAAAATCTACAACTTATTTTGTGGAATTTGTCAATTTGATTCAAAATAGTTAGAAGTTCTTTTATTAATAAAAGGGAAAGTTCTCACTGGATAAAAAAAAAAAAAATCATCCTTTCACATATGCACCAACCTTGTGTGATCTTAAATTCTTGTGTATGACACACACACACACACACAATATTGTTATGCAAGGCATATTTTTTAATATTATTTCCTATTGTATTTAATGGAATCCTTATAGAAATATTATATTAGAATCTTATTCCTTCATTACTACACTAGTTCGAACACTTTACTACATGGAGATTTTGAAAATAAGTTGTAGTTGAGTTATCTACCGTCATTTATTTAAATATATGCTCATTGTACAGGATACAAAGATTGTACTTGCACTAGTATTGTTTTCTATTTTAGTTGATAAAGCCATTATGAAAAACAATATATTAGAATCTTATTTCCTTTCACCCCTCATTAGTTTGAATACCTTAGCGCTGCATGAAGTCTTAGGAGTTTTAGCTTTAATTGTGTTATCTATTGGTATTTACAACAAAGTACACTGTAGTTGTGGTGGGAGTGAGTAGCATATTTGTATGGTAATGTTAATGTAAAAGTGGGTGTGAGGGGAGATTAGGGGTCCAATAGAAAGATGAGAAATACTTCCTATATTCCATACTGCAATATGAGGGGATTACACTTCCCAAAGAATAAAATTATATAAAGGTTGAAATTATAAAAAGTTGATATTGTGGAGAATGTGAATAATGTCAAAATTTCAAAAGTTGTTAATGAAAGAAGAATAGATAATTTGTAGGACTATAAGAATAGAAGCATTCTGGATAGAAAAAAGTGGAAAGTTTTTGGAAGGATGGAGGGAGTAATGAAACATACATTTTCTTTTGAGATATGTAAAGTAATTACATCCTCATGGCATGCAATTTAAGTCAAAGATTAAAGAAGGTTATTGGACAAATTAATAAAAATGACTTTACAATTGATAAGAAGAAAGGGTTATGGTATTACATTTTAAATTATACTTCCTCCGTTTCTTTAAATGATCTATTTCTTTTATCACATGCCTAATTTCAATAAGTAATAGTGAACATAATAAAACTTTGATATTATGAAATAATCGTGACAATTCTAACAAGATCTCTAATTACTATACTTTATCATAACTACAAATCATAAAAGTTTGGGCATGTAAGACGGAGAAGAGTGGGACCATGGAGGGGTTATCTGAGGGAGACCGAAAATGAGTTGGTTGGAAGGATTTAGGAAGGATATGAAGTATATGGATTTGCATGAGGATGAAACATTGGATAGAAGGGATAAAAGAGGAAGATTTTTGTCGATGACTACACGGAATAATCAAATTTGGTTCATGTAGCAGACCTTGCTTATGGGATTAAGGTTGTGATTGATTGATTGATATATATAATCATTAAAGTTTGTTAGAGTAGAGTTTTTGAATCGTGTCAAAAATCAAGACGTGTCAACTAAAAAAGAATAAAGGAAGTATTAATTAATAAGTCTTTTCACTTTCTCTATTCACGTCATCTAATTTTATTTCAAAAAAAGATGTGTTGCATGTTATTAAAAGATATTTACTCTTTTTTTTTTTTAAGGAAACAATTCATATATAATCAAATATATTTACTAATTTATTATTTATTATATACTTTATCCGCTCCATTTTACTTGCAACATAAGGACTTTGGAACTATTCATACTCTCACTTATTATATCATATTGTGATTTATACGAAGGAAAAAATATAGTCATGTGAGATTTGGTTTGATTCGTCTCAATTTGTACTTATTAAAATCTAATATCTTATAATTTGTACCAAAACACAACCAAAGATATTAATAGGTTAAATTGTGCTTCTGGCAAGCGTGAAACTCTTAGAGTGTGTTCTATTCACCTGATTTTCACTTATAACTTACTAGACTTTATTAGAACTTATTTTAGTTGTAATTTGTTCTTGGCTAAAGTGAATTTATTTGAGCTCATTACTCCTAAAATAAGTGAAAATAAGGTGAACAGATAACACCCTTAGTGTTGCAAGTAAAATTGAGTCGAGGAAGTATTATTCTTTTAGTTTTATATATTTTATTATAAATTGAAATCAGGAGAGTATCCATTTGACATCCTATTATAGATTGAAATCAGGAGAGTATCCATTTGACATATGTTTCTTGATCAATTATCATATATTTCCATATAACTAAATTTTTACAGCACCATTCTTTGCTGGCAGAAACCAAAGGACATTTCGGCCCAAAAAAAGTGCTCCTTCTGGAAGTAAGGTTGGTTTTTTAAAATTTATTTTTATTTATTTTTATTTTATAATTATATATATGCTTGGAATTTTTTCTTTTGTTATTGCATGACTTCTCCAATACTTGTAAGGAGCTTCTATTGAAGGGGAAGTCAAGGAGGATACTAGTACAGTTTTTAGATCTGTTTACTCTAGGCTCTAGCTATGTATAAGTACTATGACAACTATGAGGTCATCCTACCCTCTTATTGCTTTTCAACTTAGAATTAGCCTTTTAATCTGTTCATGTATTGTTAATCAGTAGCTTCTAGACCACTAAAGTCGATTATTTTGCTGCAATTTATGAAGACCATCAAAAGTATCGACTCAATTTGTCATGTTTTTACTTTTTAGTTTAAGGCATATTGATAACTGAATATATGCTGCTAATACCAAATTGAAGTGAATTATTCACTATATCTTTCATTCGCAGGGGGCCCAGCTGAGGCAGCTTATTGATGCGACCCTAGGCAGTGGAAATCTGAGGGAAGCAGTGAGACTTCCGCCAGGGGAGGATTTGAATGAATGGCTTGCTGTGAACAGTATATCTCTTTTCTCTTCCGTATATTTTGCACAATTTAGACTATTTTCTGTCTTTGATGTATTATTGCTGCTTTGCCATTGTCAGGCTATAGATCTATTCTGATTGGAAATTTGGAATTGCTGTTGCATTACAATCACACATCGTTATCCTATAGTTATAAATGACCTCTTGTATCTAAGTCTTATTAAGATTGATCTTTTTTTCAGCTGTGGATTTCTTCAACCAGGTGAACCTACTCTATGGTACTCTCACTGAGTTTTGTACACCAGAGAGCTGTCCTACCATGACTGCAGGACCCAAGTAATGCCCTTTAGATCTATTTTCAATAGTTATTTATTGTGTTCATGCAGTAGCATTTACAGATCTCTTGAAATAGGATTATTTATCAAATTTTTTTCTTCAGATATTGAAAGATTGTGCCTCACTACATTCTTGGTCAATATGAATGCTGTTTATTTGCTAGAATTGCATGGTCCTCACAGATTCGAAGTTTAGGGTGCAAATTTATTGTATCCAGCCCCAAATCCTTGGGAGCTGAACTATGCAGCACGGCTGCACCTTATTGGAAAATTGTTTTTATTTTTTTTATTTTCTGTCTTGTTTCTCTAAGTTTGGCAATAGATCAACATTTAGGCGGTATGATTAAGTGGTAATTAATTGGGGATCTTTCCGGCGTGGGATTCTTCTTAGTTTTTGGGATTCTGAGTTAATAATGCCTAAAGAGGATCATGAAATTAATCATGTTTTTTATTAAGTTATTTTTGGCACTTGGGTGAACAGAATCTGAATACTTATGTCATTACCCAGTGGTTTGTGGCATTATGTTATTGCAGGTTTTAATTCTACTTCGAAAAGAATTAAATTAAACAAATATATAAAAACAGATTTAATTTTGGTTTATCTTTCACATAGATAGATCATGGATTAAATGAGTAATCAATGCCTAAAGGGTAAAGTTGAAACTGTGGTGTTTTTTAGCTTCATTGCACAAAGTTGAATGGTTAAGGGAAAAAGTAACAAAAGAATTTGGAAGGTTAAATGGGATTACTTCCAAAAATAGGGGTTTAGTTTCATGGAAAGAAGCTGGTCAGTTTGGATGTTTGCTTCTGCTAATGGATGGATTAAAGTCTTTATTGGGTGCTGGTGGTGATGGCACTGTCTATTGTGTATTCTTGTCCTTGAGGATGCTCATGTAGTTTGTAGATATGATGTGTGAGGTGGTCATATATACTAAGAATTTATAAATATTTGGTTAGACTAAGTTCAAGGTAGAACAACTGAAGGTGATTAAGGCTGCTTACTGCATTGATTGTAGATTGGTAATAGTCTAATTTGATCTTATATGGGTCATGGTTGAGTAAAAGCTTTAAAGGTCTACAAGGATATTAGCCTTGAAGCTGAGAAAAGAGAGAGCCATTGTGATGGTTATTGTTATTACGTGATCCTGGGTTGGCTAAGTTGAATTGAAGGTCTTCATAAGTTTGTGTAGATTCTGTTTACAGCTATAACAGATGCAATTGAGGTGATTTTTCCCAATGTTTCTATTATTTTTTTTCTTTTTTCTTTGTTTTGGAGTGATTAGCTCACTGCTGTTAGTCCAAATAGATGGTTTCACTTTGTTATATGATCTGTCCTTCAGAAGTGATCTGGAGCATCTGTTATAGGCAATATCTGAGTCTTTTTTTTTTTTGGATCAAGTGGTCATAGATGCTAGATATCTTGACTCTTGTTGAATGCAGTTTCACTCAACTTTAGGAGCCTCTATCAATCTTCAACCGTCTTGAATTACTCCATTTTGTTTTCTGACTCTTTTCAAAGCTGTCTGTTTCTTGGAATACTCAAAGGAGCAAAATATGAAGATAGATAATTCTCTCTGTAAGATGGTGGAATGGAAGCGAGAAATTTAGATTGGAGAGGGGATTTTAGCAAGTCTAGGAGTCAAAGGGATTGGGTCTTAGATGTCTGAAAACATCTTTAATCCTAAACCAACTTAGGGCATTGTTTTTCTGGGGACCTATCAGAACCTGTTCTTTCTCATATACTGGGATTTTCTAGTTTCTTTGTGACTTCAATTATCACTTGTTTTGTTGATGATTGTCTGTTTTGTATTTGTTGATGATTTTCTAGTTTCTCTTATGCATAATAGTGAGGGCTCATAAGTTCCTCTTTTGCATAATAGTGAGGTCTCTACAGGGGCTAAAAGGACTTCAGTTGTGGGATGCTTGGAGTAAAATAGTCTAATTCTTGCTTATTTTGTATACATTCTTTACGCTTCTGCTTTTTGTACGTAAGGTGTATGAAGCATGAGGTATCTTGATATTACTTTGACAGAACTATTTCGATTAAAGGTCCTTCCTTAGTTCCTTTAGCTTATTTTACTACTATTAGTCTTTCTTATGTTGTTCACAATAGATTGATATTCAGCTCCTAGGAAGTTGCTTGCTTGTAAGTTGTAATATGTGTATTGCCTTTTTTGAGATGTTAAATTCTCACTAAATTTGCTTCTGCCTGTTTATGACAAAAAAAATGTAGTATGTAACTTTCAATATATCGTATGTAACCTGTAAGATGATTGATATGTAAATTTTTACATGCAATCATTGATGTCAACATCATGTTTCTATACTCCGTGTTTACTTTGATTATGCCGTGACAGGTATGAGTATCGATGGGCTGATGGAGTTCAGATAAAAAAACCTATTGAGGTTTCTGCACCGAAATATGTCGAGTATTTGATGGACTGGGTTGAATCGCAATTGGATGATGAATCCCTCTTCCCACAGAAGATTGGTAATCTTTTATCCATTTCACATCTTCCTGCTGTTATTTGTAAAATCAACATGACATCTCTGGATAAAATACTAGTAAATAATTGCTTTTGACGGAAGCTATTTTGGTTGAAGAGGTGGGCAGGCTTATATATATAGACCCTGTTTGTACCTTAACAGTTTCTTCTTTTGTGGACATTCTCTTTTTGTAGGGGCACCATTTCCTTCGAACTTTAGGGATGTTGTCAAAACTATCTTCAAGAGGTTGTTTAGGGTGTATGCTCATATTTATCACTCTCACTTCCAGAAGATAGTGAGTCTCAAGGAAGAGGCCCACTTGAATACTTGTTTCAAGCATTTCATATTATTCACATTTGTAAGTCTCTCTGCTTTTTTTTAGTTGTATAGAACCAACACATGGTTGATAGATATTTGATCCTATTATTTGAATTCCCTGAGTTGAATAAGGGTTTCTCCTTTTAGAATTTGGAATTTTGTTATGTTTAGGAGTTAATTTATTTAAACGATATAAGCTGCCTTCTCATAGTCACCTCCTTCAGGATCTGATGAAACTGTCGTTATTTGTGCAGGAGTTTGGGTTGATTGAGAAGAAGGAACTGGCTCCTCTTCATGAACTTATAGAATCTATTGTTCCTTACTGAAGTATCACCGTTTTAATTACATATCCTGGATTGTGGGTTTAGTCACATAGTTGAATCTAATAAAGGAATCATAGGAATTCATCACAGTTTTTAGACTCCGTGTGCCCCTCTTTGCTCTTGTGCCTTAATTTTATCATTTGTATATGCTTCAATTTCCATATATGAATGTATTTTGTTATTACAAGTATATGATATAAACTGTGGAAATGATTGTTGCCATCTTGTATGTGCAAATTCTCAGAGGCCTCTCCTTTCTGATAGCTAAATGCTTAGCAGATCAATTGGCGAGCGTTGGATATGATGCAATGTAGTTATTTATATAAGCTAACTTTGTTTGAATCCATGCTTATGGAAGAGGAAATCTTTGTTTTTCTTGATTGGGCAGAATAATAATAGCTTGAGCAGCTATTGTTTGCTCTTGGACCATTATCTGAGAATTTCTGAGATGTTACAAGTACACCCTTTTGTCGTCTGTGATGTTATACGTACACCCTTTTTTTAACCGGAGTTTGAGCAGGTTTTGCAGCAATTGTGATGCATCTTTGATGGTCTGAATTGCATATCTTAGGTCTGAAGTCATAACTTCTGTCCTGCTTTATGCTCAAAGTGATTTATGTAAAAAAAACTGCTAAGCAGTACTTTGCTATTATTTTTCTGGACAATTAGTTTAACATCAACTACTTTTCGTGTACGGGCAGTCTGGTATTTAAACTGGGAAAAATAAGTTGGTTTTATATGATTACCATCTTTAAGAGGTACGACAACTACATCTCAAAATGGCTAAATCATTCAATATCAAGTGTTTTCTTCTAAAAGTAGCTCCCACTTAACCAAGGAAACTACAAGTTTCCCCTATTTCAAAGAACATTACAATATGTCCTTGGGGTAGAGTATTTTCTCCCATGTCTAAGATGAATTGGTTTATCGTTCCTCAAAATCGTATACAATTTGCTCTACTCCCATTTATAGCTCTCAATGAACCAAAATACTGCGCAAAATAGACAATCACGATTATTGAATCTTGTTGAAGATAAGTGCAACACAAAAATGTGTCACTACCCCTAAGAAAAGAATATGTAGCACTCACATGCTCCCCTTAAGCAAATTCTTTAGGACTATAAGAGTACTACGTCTACACGTATATAAATAAATGAAATACTGCACAATCAAGAAAATTTGCTCCGCAAATGGTTACTGCATCCTTGAAATGTCTTGGTTGACTTGACTACCCTTGCTGTAATTGCCACCTTCAACTTTGTATGAAAAATCCCTATTGCACCTCAGAAAAGATATATCAGGAACAGTGAAAGAAACTGGCAAACTACCTCCGTCAAGATTAAAGTTGTCACATTGCTGGTTCAATCCATCAAAGTGACAATAAAATCTAGACAGAGGGAGTAGGTTTTTTAAATGAAATAGACTCGTTAACATCAATGTTATTTTATATATACTGATATCTGTGGGCGTTGGTTGATCAACTTTGCATAAGACAATACTTTCTATGCTTTAGCAAACAAAAATGCTAGAAGAAATCAAATTAAGAAGTATAGAAGGGAATATGACATACCTACTTATAATATCTACAAATCACCGTCAGCTGTCTGCAAGCTCTCCTGACTAGAATGTCCATAAGTTGAAGTAGCAAAACTATAGAACACAGATATTACACCAAAAACACCAATAACCATTGAAAATAGCTGGAAATTTGCAAGCATCTCCCCTCTGATTAGACTCTCTGTTGAGTGACATACAATGTCATCTTCTTTAAGTAGACAACCATCCGGCATCATGGGGCCGTACAGGGTGAAGGCAGTCTGATAGAACCAAAGGCCTTGTAGAGTTATGGCAATGCTGTTAGATAAATCAAGTGGGAAACTTGATGGGACAAGAGTGCCAACAACACTAGTTAGAACACACAAGCCTATTAGTACAACTAGGATATAGTGATAATAGCCTTCCAGGCCTTTGTGATTTGTAGAATGGAAATAGAACAGCAGGTACTCTGAAGAGAATGCTGACGCAGCAATCAAAGTAAGTGCTCCATCTGGCAAGGGAAGAATGCTGAACAATGCGAAACACGATGAGATTAGTCATATTTTCAGAAATTAGTGTCAAGCAGATGTTAAAAGAGGCACAATAAAAAAAAATAAAAAAAAAAATTTAAAAAGCTTTGAATATGATTACAAGAACCAAGTTCAGCTAGCCAGGGTAGGAATACAGAAGCTACGTACTCTGTATCGTTCAAAATAGCAGAATCTATATTTCACAACCAAATACCCCCCCCCGGGTCCCACAATTGAGTTAACACCCACTTTCCACATGGAGTTTTAAAGAGTGGAGAGCACACTTAAAGACCAATAATAGTTCTAAAATCAGCAGCAACTATCTCAAGAAATAGTTGCAAACATCAAGTTGAACTTTCTCCATGGCTACAAGTCTATATGACTAACAAACAGATTATATACACCAGTGTAGACAAAGCACAAAGCCTAACTAGTTATTGTAGCTTATAACTAAGGCTGCTACTCATGGCATGAAATGAAAACTCTAATAAACACTGATTTCGTTCCCTAGTTTAGCTGGATTCTGTAAGATTAATGAGTAACTGAAACAACAGCAGCATTCACTTACAAGAGTTTGATTGTATAAGATGAAAACTTAATATAAGATGAAAACTGAATATTTCACATGAAACTACTATGCAGTATGCCCAAACGGCCAAACCATGAAACTGCAGACAGTCCTTTGGATTTAAATTTGTTACCAGAAAGGATCCCAGAGAAAAATATGAGAGAAGGTAGTATGATGGTTACAAGTAACGATATCAAGCACTGAATTCCTCAGAAGCACATTTAATAAATAAAAATAAAAATAAAAACAACAACTTAATAATAGTAGATCTACCCAAGTACCCATTATAACGCAAACAAGAAGAGGTATAGATAATAATAATAATAATAATAATAATAATAATAATAATAATAATAATAATAATAATAATAATAATAATAATAATAATAATAATAAATAAATAAATAAATAAATAAGCCTAATTAAGAATTTTAGCCAAGCAACTAATAAAACTCTACAACAAACCACAGACCAGAGACCAGAGGTCTGCAAATAATATATAGCCACACAAATTACTGCTCAACAGATTATTTACAGGGGAACCCCTCCATCCTTATACCTTAGGCCTAGCCAGCATCCACAATATCCAGCACAAGACATTACTAGATTATATGTTGACAACTGACCAAAGTTAGACAATTTCCACCCATTTCAGGTATCTTGCACCTATTTTGGATGCCCCACTCCAAATTCCACTTTCCTCTCTAATACGAACTAAAATTTTGTCAATCTATCAAAAGCATAAGCTCAAGGCTTCCCAACATAATTATGATTGATCTAAAGTGGGAGTTTAAATGTCTAATATTGTCAGCTTCAATTATACAATGGTTGTTTAAAAGCCTGTCACATATTTTCCAACTAAAAAAGCCTTTAAACCATACTGTTTTCTTCCTTTCATATATGTCTTTGATAAAAAAAAAATACCCCATCTCTAAATGTTCTTCTTGATTAAACAGCAATTGTCTCACAAAATAAGTAAATACAGAAAAAACTTTTACAGACGGGGGGAGTACTTTTCAGCATTGATAAACATAAACAATTTCAAGGTTGAAATATATCATGCCTTAGTAGCTACTCAAGGAGATCTATATATTATCATAACAAACAAACAGTGAACATGTTGGAATATGAAGTCCAGAACAAGCAAAATTTAAGAGCCAAACCATGTACAAAAGCTAAACCTGGCCTACATAGTGCCCTTTCTTTTTTTCTTCTTACGATTACAAGCTTAGCACTTATTGCAAACTAATAAAGAAATAACATTTGCTTTATGAAATTACTGAAGTCAAAATGGAACAACAGCAATAGAATAAAAGTATAAAACTCATATTAACAGATCACTAAAAGCTATAGTAGTTTTCAGCGCCATAATTTTCTGTTTACTAGATGAAGAGTATAAAGGTACAGTTTTTAATAGAATTCGCAAAACCAGGCAGAAAACCTTGGGAAGTCGTAGCAGGGAAACAAGAGACTCGTGATCTTGGCATTCGCCACCAGCACCTGAGTCACTTTAACTGTTGATTGGGGGATTAATTGAACCAATTATCGATTGAAAGAGCTACCAAGCTCAACAATTGCTAAAGTTAGACTTTTGTACCCAACAATCACTTGATTAGCCCTACCAAAACAGATCCATTCATGACCAATAAAAGCTGATATAGTTATACCTCGAAGCTCCTAACAATACTTCACAGAAGTACACTAGTTTTTGAGATTTTGACATGCTAGTCAATTCCAACAATTATATCGTATACTATCCACTTTTTTTTTTACTGAAAATATAAACAATTACTTGATGCAATAATATAAAGCAAAAGGGGTAAGAAAGGAGGACAAACCTGGTCTTTACTGATATGAGAGTGACGAGGCCGAAGATGAAGAACATGATCAGCATACCAGAGTGCTCAAAATTATTCATATGAGAAGGATTCAACACCCCATTTACAAAGTACTTAAGATGAGGTGCATACACAAGCTCTATGCACAAATCAATAAAAGCACCAATCACCACCAAATACAATTCCAAGTACTTTAGCCTCCCATCAAAACCCGGCACCGGGTTCCATACCCGGATCCGAAACGAATTCGGACTCCTCACATATCTGTACACACTACACCACATATGCCATAAACCCACCACCAAAAACAGTGTCCCTGGCACTACATGACCTTTAAATGACCCCATCTCTTCAATTAAACAAAATTATCACCCAATTCTTTCATTAACTCCCTTCTATGCCCCCCAATTACACCTTTTGCACCTGCATACCCTAAAAACAACAGGTAAAAAAACACAATTTCATATCAAACTTTTCTATCTTTAAAGAATCATATTCTATACACCCTTTTAACCATAAAGTTCATACAAAAATCATACAATATTCCTAAATTCACAAAGATGAAAACGCAATTTCAAGAACTTTCATCACACCTTCAATCAACAAAATATCCACCTTTTACAAGTCAAAAGTGGATGATGCAACTAAAAGTCACAATTGGTGGGTTTGAAAAAGACTTCAGATTCCAAATTTCTAATATTGGAAAAATTACAAATAACATAAATCCTTTTATTCATAATATTCATGTATAAAATAGTAATAATTACAATGCATTGAAACCCAGAAAACCCACAAAAATCTAAAAACAACCCATAAATATAATTATATGCAAATTCGCAAATAAAGAACATTACAAGTAAATAGTTATAGCTTCCAAGAAATGGATGAACTTACATAGAAACAGTTGAATATTGTATAACTTTGGAAAAATAAAATTGATGAGAAGTGATTAGTGAATGATTAGGATCCAAAAGGCAAAAGGTTGACCAACTACCCTAAAAAAAAGATGGAAATCTAAGAATCACTGTAATTTGTGCGTAATTATTTGTGAGAGAGAGGAGATATAAAGGAAGAAAGTGTACATCTGGAAAAATGGACCGCTTTATTATGAAATCATTTATATTTTCACCCTTCTCAATTTTGTATGGACCCTCATGATTTGGCTTGCAAACGTTGACTTCATCGTGATCGTCAATTTTTTTATTTTGACTACGAGATGTTTGTACTAATCGTAGCAATCTAGCATTATGGAAAGGTGAATGGATTAGAGGATTTAGGATGGAGTGAAATTGGCACTAGTACATTACTTGTAAGGGCAGTCAGACACAACACGATATAACATGTTATTGTGTGTGTTAGATCGTAAATGCGCTTTAGATTAATTATACTTATTTAATACAAATACAATAAGATATTACATGATATGATCCAACAACACAAAATCACGTTATAATATGTGTTTTCTTTGGCTTAAGCATGCAATTGTGGCACAATATAAAGATATGTGAGATTGAATTCTCCTTCTAAAAGTTTTGATATGGCAATACTAGAGTTACAAATATTGATGAATAGAAGGTCAAAAGAGAACCAATTCAAATATGTTCATTTGTGCATGTGAGATGATGGACAAAAAATGTGTTGGTATGAAAAGAAGATAGTGCGGATTAGAAAAAGAAGAACCAGCTTTGGTTTTAAATGGAGAAGGTCGAGAATAATATAGAGAATTAGGTTTACAATTTGCATATCTCACTTGATAATAATATGGATTAGAGAGAGAGATTTATGACAACTATCAAATAAATAACATATTTATTTGTGAAGTTGTCCCTATTTGTTGAAATAAATCATTATTATTATTGTTATCAAACTAAGCAGGTCATTTTCAAGGTGGCATCGAATGATTTGGTGTCGTTTTTTTATTGGAGGTCCTTAGCTACGTGGCACTTCCTTGACAAGTGCTTTATAATAAATTTTTGTTGTTTTTATTTTGTTGGATTAGGTGCGCCGGTTTCCAGGGGGTGGGGGGAGGTGGCTTGGCGGTTCGAAAGTGGGGGATAGGTAGAACGGTGGTGGTGGTATGGTGGCTAAGGAAAGGAAATGGAATGACTTAGGGGCGTGGAATCAACTTGAAAAACATCAAAGAAATCAGAACAATTAATTCCTTTTTCCTTTTAAATACCCCAATTAAACGGTCCCTAAAGTGGTATGCTCAAATTAGATCAAATACGACCCAATTCATCATTATGGAGTACTACTTAGGCCTATTCTCATACGATTATTTTCTATTTAATTCAGTTCAGTTCAACTCCTAATTTCCTTCTCTTATAAAATATTTACTTCAATTCAGTTCCGTTCAATTAGGTTTAATAAGTTCAGTTCAACTCAGCTGAATTTAATCAATGAGAACAAACCCTTATTAGTTAACTACTAAACCCGAGCTCTGAATTCATTTTCTAAATTAAGAGTTCAAATCATTGCACTTGGGTTTCACTCGGCCCACCCCCTGTTCTTCTCAACCCAAACCCAAACCCGTTCAACTCCGGTCGCTGGTAACCACCATATTCCGGCGGCGCCTCCTTTATACCGAGGTGCACCATCTCCCTTGTTTCTCTGTGTTTGTAACTTCATTTTCAGATTCTAATTAACATATTTACTGCATAAATATTGAAACTTTAATGCTTATCCTTTAAATTAGGGTTCATTTTAGGTAAGGTCTTGAAGTTATGTATGTATTGAAGTAACTGAAAATTCGTTGTGCTTATCATTTTTTTTAATTGTGCAAGTATAGTTATTTCTGCAAGTTTATGCTGTTTACATAATTTTATAATTACGAATTTATAAGATGTTTTGATTCATTTGATGTTTTAATCAAGCATGACTCCATTGAGATACTCTGTTTTGGGTAGGTTGTATTTGCAAAAGTCTGTACTCCGTTCTAATTAATCTTATTTTGGAAATATGGCTTTGATTATTTTAATTCCCCTGTTAAATTGGGTTTTATTTTTGTTAATTATTATTATTATTGAATGTGTTGATTTTTTAATTTGTCCTGGTTATGATTAATCTAATTTTGTGGCTTATTAAATTAGTTTGGTGATTTTAAATTCCTGCTAAATTGGATTTTTTAGAGCAACTCTAATGGTTATGTCTTGTTATTTATTAATTTTATTATTATTGAATGTGTTGATTTCTTAATCTGTCCAGGTTATGATAATTTATAGCAGTAGCATGACACACCGCGAATGATTCGGACTTTGGAGTTCAAATTTTATTATGGTGACAACTATCACACAATGTAATGTTTTCGTACCTCAATCACATCATTATGTCGATTTTAATCGACATCATTTTGTACTTGAGCAATGTAAATTTTTTAATGGGTACCGCAGGATTAGTCATGCTTCCATTTATTGCAATTCCAAGTTCAATCATACTGCTATAACACACCAAAATCAGTGTAGTTCTTTTCTTGGTTCTCACACTGAACATAATCTTACTCGAAACAAGGGTTTGATAAATGAATCATCTGTAGACGAGCTGATTAAAGAGTTTACTTATGAAGGATTCTATGTTGATGCTGTCAAGCTTTATATTGGCATGTTGGATGGCGGTTTCATCCCAAATGTCTTTTATTCCTTTCCTGTTTTAGTTAAGGCGATTGGCGGTGTTTGTGATTTGAACTTGACTAGGCAAGTTCATGGGCATATTCTGAAGTTAGGTGTGATCAAGTATATATCTGTAGCAAATTCTCTTTTAAGCACGTTTTGGAAATGTGGTGCTAGTGATGATGCAATAAGGATGTTTAAGACAATGCAAGAGAGGGATTCTGTTTCATGGAGCACTATGATTTCTGGTTTTCATCAATCAAGGTTGTATATTAGCTCACTGGAATGGTTTGCACACATGGTTTGTGAATTCGGAATATATCCCAATAGGGTAGCTTGCATTTCAGCGCTTTCTTCATGTACTTCAGTTAAGTCTCTAATACATGGGGAAGAAATACATGCTTTTGTGATTAAAAGTGGGTTGGATGTTGATGAGTTTGTTTTGAGTGGATTGCTTGAGTTCTATATGAAATGTTCTGTTGTAAGCTATGCAGAACAATTGTTTCAGAGCGTTGTAGGGAGTATGAGAAAAAATACCGTGTTATGGAATGTTATGATTTTGGGGTATGTGGAGAATAGCTGTTACTCGCAGGCACTATGTTCTTTCATTGAAATGATGGTTTCAGGGGTTAAATTTGATTCTTCTACTATGGTTGCTATTCTTGCCTTGTGCTCAGAGTCCTTAAATCTAGCCTTTGGAAAGCAAATTCATGCACTTATAATCAAAACTGGTTTGGAGATAGATGTAAGAGTTGGAACCTCATTGATAGACATGTACTTTAACTGTGGCCAACCTGATTCAGGATTACATCTATTTGACAGGTTCCATAATCATAATATAGTCATGTGGGGTACAGTAATCACAAATTGTGTTCGATGTGGATCTTCTAGAAAAGCATTAGATCTGTTTGTTGTTGGACTGGAGCATGGTTATCTGGATTTGGTCATGTTATTAGCTGCATTACGAGCATGTTCATCTCTGACAGTTAAGCTTGAGGGCATGCTGCTTCATGGGATGGCAGTTAAAATGGGGTTGGACCTAGATACATACATTGGTAGTGCCTTAGTTGATATGTATATGAAATGTCAAAATGTACCATGTGCTCAAAAAGTCTTTCTAATGTTACCTACAAAAGATGAGGTAGTTTGGAGTAGTCTGATATCTGGATATACTCACAATGAATGCTTGGATGATGCTGTGAGAGCATTTTGCAAGATGCAAGATTGTCGAATTAGACCTAATGCAGTGATTATGTCATGTCTCCTATCAATTTGCACACAATTGTATACAAACTTAAAGTGTAAAGAAATTCATGGGTATTTGATACGCAGTGGATTTGAGGCCAATATTCTTGTAAACAATTCACTTGTAGTTGCCTATGCAAGGTGTGGAAATTTGGAAAGCTCGTGGAGAGTCTTTATTGGGATGAAGGAGAGAGATAAAGTTTCATGGAATTCGATGATGTTGGGGTTAAGCCTACATGGTCTTGTAGACGAAATGCTTGTTTTGTTTGACCAGATGAGAAAGAATGGCTTGAAGCCTGATCATCAAACATTTACTGCAATTCTTTCTGCATGTAGTCATACAGGAAGAGTTGCAGATGGCTTGAAATTCTTCAGAAGCATGACAGAAGAACATATGCTTGAACCTAAACTGGAGCAGTATACTTGCTTGGTTGATCTTTTAGGTCGTGCTGGATATGTAAACCAAGCTTATGATCTGATAATTGCTATGCCACACATTCCAGATGACCGCATTTGGGGATCGTTGCTTGGATCTTGTAAAATTCACGGTAATGAGAAGTTAGCTGAAGTTGTAGCTAATCACATCTTTGAGTTGAATCCTGATAGTATTGGGTACCGTGTACTCCTTGCAAACTTGTTCGAGGACTTGGATAAATGGAACGAGGTTGTAACACTCAGATCCAAAATCAAAGGTATGGTACTGAAGAAAAGTCCTGGCTGTAGCTGGATTGATGTTAATAATCAGATTCATGTGTTTACTGCAAGTGATCAAAAACATGATAAAGTAGGAGACATATATGCCATGCTTAAAAATTTGACTGCAGAGATAATTAGGGATGGATATATCCCACAAGTGTAATTTCATGTTAATTTAATTTTTAATTTATTCATCTTATTAGATTTTATTCTTTTTTTGGGAGAGGGTTGTGAAAAAAATGACTGCTTTGCAGCCCCATCATCCATGTACATTGTACACCATGATTCATGATACTGATATCAAAATTTATACAATATTCTTGTTGAGCTTTTTGTTATCGCTAATTCATTACAAGAAAGCAAATTTTAGAATGAGACAATCTTAAACCATAGAGAATATAACGTTCCTTCTCTACTTATATAGTTTCTACCCTACAATCCGTAAGTCAACCACAAAAGTAATAATTTTTTTTGTTTTCCGGAATCTTACTATACAATCATGTCATACAAGAATCAACAAAATTTGAAATAATTAACAAGAAAGCAATCAATGAACATTTTAGTTTGAATTTGAATCAAAATGTATAATAGTTGGGCCCATAGGCACTTGATGGT